AGCCCTGTGCTTGGCTGCTGGGGGAGCGGTGGTGGGGCACTGTGTGGGGCATGGCAAAGCCAGGGTGTGCCACAGGTGCTCTGCACAGAGCCCCTTCCTGGTCACCTCTGTTCCTGCCACCACATGTTACTCAGCTGCTCGGCCAGGAAGTGAATCCCCGGTGGGATGGGCAGGAAATAGTTAAGCAAGTGGCATGCAATGGCCCATGCTGGCCTGGCAGGTCCTGGACCCCAGTGTCACCCTCCAGTGTGGGCACCATGACCATCACAAGTTCTGGGTGAGGATGGAGGAGAGGAGCATCAAGCATCAGGCAGGACTAGGTGCGCCTGCCCAAGGGAGGTGTTTCCCCATGGTCCCCTCTGCCCATAGGACTTACCTGGTGTCCCACAGGCAATGCTCTTTCTCAGTTCCCATGCCAGCCCCACATGGCATGGCTGAGGACATGTGTCCTCCCAGGAGAGCAGCCAGTGACGCTGATGCTGCTGGGATGCTGCCACGTTCACTCGGTGCCTGCAAACCTGCATCTCCAACACCACCACTGCGCACTCTCCATCACCCCCAAAAACCTCCCCTGCCTTCTCCCTCCTCCAGACCACGGTCCAGGGGCACAGCCAGCACCTAAGGATGGGGAGACAAAAGCACATGAGTGACAGCAAGTGTTGACACTGTCCCCTTGCAGCAGCCACACAGGGGTGAGACCGGTGATTTGGCATTTTTGTGGGCAATGCTCCTCCAGTCGAGGGGCCGGGACTGCCCAGCTCAAGGATGGGGTGTCCCTGCTACAGCCAGATCTCTGGCACAGCACCTTGGCCTTGCTCCACTCCTTACACACCATCTCCTGCACCATCAGGGACAGGGAAACACAGGTCCAAGCTAAACCCAGGGGACTGGGTTTGCTGGGAAGCCCCATTTAACAGAGGCACAGAGCAGTTTGGTGTTGATGGCTTGGGGCATTAAGGCATGACTGTCTCCAGGCTTGCAGGTGATGCTGCCATCCACCAGCATGGTGCTGGTGGGACCCACACCGGGTCTGAGCCCCAGCAGGTGTGAAAGTTGGTGTTTGCTCGTTGGCAGCACTGGGTTGGGGAAACCTGCTGCCTGGGTCGGTTTCTGTTTGGGAGGGTATTGAAGGGTGTTCTCCAGGGCGTGCCAGCCCTGGCCTCCACCCTGCTTTCACAAGCGCCCTCTCCGAAAGGAGTTTGTTGTTCTCGGTGGTGGAGCAGATGCAATTAGCACCAGTGAGGTTCTCCCGTGGGGGCCTGGCTGCTGACAGGGACCTGGGGACAGCCACACCCCCTCTCCATGCCCAGGGTAAGCAGAGCCTGCCTTCTGGATGCAGCAACCCAGCCAACTGGGGGGAGCTGGAAACCAGGGGACATGTCCTGGGCTGAGGGGTTTGTCCTGCAGAGGCTGTGTCCCCACGCTTCATGGGAGACAACCTGATTGGAAACCAAGGACCAAACCCAAAGCCAACATGAACAAGCCCAAGGAGTGGGTGGTTGCTCTGGATCTGCCATCACTTCTGACAGCAACCCTGTGCCCACAGACTGTCCTCCTTACCCCAGCTGGGACAGCCATAGGCCTGAGCCTGTTTCCTGGGCTCTGCAGTGCTGTGTTGATGCCACGGCTCAGTTTTGGTCTCTCCCTATGGTTGTGGAGGTGACCAGGTTGGTCTCAGAGCTCAGCAATCCCAAGAGGCATTTCTGGGCTTGGTCTCAGCTTTGCAGGGATTTGTCTCATGGCGCTTGGGTACCGTCACGTCATCAAATCTTTTCACTGGCTCTTTGGAGGAAAAAAAGTTAGGAGAAGGGATCTCTGTCAGCATCAGCTCAACATCAGCAACTGCTTGGGTGCTCCTAAGCAAAAAGGCAAAGTTAGGGATGTGCAAACCCCAGCTGCCCCCAAGCACCCGCCACATCCCAGTGCCCAGCCCGCAAAATGCTCTGGTAGGTGCCAGACCAGTAGATCTGTTTCTCCCCATCATCCGCTGAGCAAACTGGTCCCTGTTGCACTGGAGTGACAGCGATGTGAACCAGGGTGAATCGGTCCCCTCCTGTGTCTGGCACAAACCCAAAGGCAGGATTCAAACCTGGGGGAATTGCAGCTGGAAACTGGTTCATGGAGGGCAGCCGGCGCTCTGCCAGTTATCCAGAGCAGGAGGAAGGACCTGTGTGCCAAGGGCAGAGAGCTTGGGTGAAATCACACACGTGCCACCGTAACCTCACCTGAAAAGCAGCCTAGGGTTACGGGTCCTGCTTGCAGCAGGACTTGGTGGCTGTCCCTCTGCCACCCCGCATCCCCGCTGACCTGCAGCCTCAGCACATGGTGGGTCCCATCCTGCTCTCCCAGGCTGGGTCCCGGCAGAGGGAGCTGTGACATTAGCGAGCCCAGACAGAGCTCTGCGTGCTGGGACTGCAGCCCCAGGCTTTGTAATGGGACCAAAGAAAACAAGTGCTGAGGCCCTGACGCTGCGCAGCCTTCACGGAGAACTTGCTGACTCAGCACGCCTGATAGCTCGTCCTTTTGCCTGGAAATCAAGTCAGGAGTTATGCAGAACTTGTAATTCCCAAGAATTTCCAACTTTCCTTCCCAGCTTGTAATTTCAAATATAAAAGCACTTTTAGCTCTTAAAAAAAAAAAACAAAAACCAAAAAAACACACCAACAACCAAAAAAACCCACCCCAAAACCAGTTTAAAAACGTCCTTCTCAGTTTGCATCCATGCAGAAAGGTCTTGGACCTTTGGTGCAGCGCTGGGGTTGAGCTGATGCAGGAGCATCTCTGTGTAGAGCAGCACACGGCTGCTATTGGAGACCCTGCTCTGTTCCTGGTGGGGCTTCAGCTATTCAGTGGGCAACAGGACAGAGCCACCTTGCAAAGAGTATTCCTTGCTTGCAAAGAGTATTTCTCGTCCCCTACACACACAGCCCTTGAGGGCACACACAGCCAGGGAGCAGCCCAGCTTCACACCAAACATATCCCCATCCTCCCAACAGCCAAACCACAGCTTCCACAGCTCTGAAGGGACAAGCATGGTCCAGATCCCAGCCAGACCCAGGCTGAGCACGTACAGACCGCCAGGAGTCACTGTGCTCGGGTCATTCCTTATCATTTGCATCCTTGAGATAAGGCTGGATAAGCAGTACCAGTAACAACGTGCGGCATCTCTCTGATCTGGTAGTTTGCATCACAGCCTGAACAGGCATGTTGCCAGCATCACCCCATGGCAAGGGGCTGGTGACTCTGTCTCACTGGGCTATGTCACTGTCCAGGTCCCCATCCTTCTGTTGCACCCTAGAAACACTCCTGCCACCCAGGAGCTGCCTGTAGATCGTGTATGTAAAATGAAGTGGTGGAGCTGGGAGCTGAGGGCTCGGTCAGCGAGTGCAATGGTCAGCGAGAGAGGGACAGGTCTGCAAAACACCTCCCATGATGGTTCAGAGCTGCATTTGAACAGGGATGCTTGGAAGAGGCTCTGAACTGCAGCTCAGTGCTGCACGCAGTCCTGGGAAGCTCCTGGAAGTGGAAGTCAAGGTCTTTCACACACAAACTCTTTATGCAGCTCAGTGCCCTAGAGAGATGGGGCAGAGATGATGCCTCCATGCAGCAGCCATTTGACCACTGACAGGCAACTACATGTTCAAACCACCGTCTTCATTTTTGATTGTTACCCTCAAGACAACGTGGACTGGACTCATGGACATGCTGAGCATCTGCTGGAAAAATTCAGGGCTGGCATGTCTCAAACTGAACATCCCCAGATGAGAGTAATCAAAACTCCCTGCCAAAAACCACAGCATCAAACACTGTACTGAAGCAACCAAGAACCAGGAGAGAGACCAGGACTCCCCATCCTACTGCTGCTCCAGCCCAAACCCCAAATCAACCACTAGCTCAAGAAAGAATGGGTGTAATTCTTTATTTTGTGTCCCTTTTAAAATACCATCACAGAACTACTTCCATTCATGGCTTCGTGCTGTCCCTCAGCCCACGACGGCACAGCATCCTAGCTGGCCATGCTCTTATTCCTCCAGGGAGCAGGAGATCATCGTCCCTTCAAGGTTGGCAGGTTGGAGCTGCCTGGTCCGATCTCAGCAGTTGTCCCTCCGTACCAGGTACCACCTGGGAGCATTGCACAGACAGGGAGCAGATCGAGGGAGCAGGAGGGCAGTCCAGAGAGACTGGTGGGGATGGCTGTAGCATTCAGCTGCCCCAGGAAGAGAGTCTCTGGCTTGTGTTTTCTGGCAACTTAGAACTGTGTTTGTTTCTCATTCATTTTTTTTATTTTTTTTTTTAAAGGTTGTTCCTACTTGCAAGGTAAAAATCAGTCAGCACCTTGGGGATCCAAGGCTGAGCTGCACTGTAAAACCAGCAAGAAACACAGATATTTGAAAGCTGAGAAGTCAGAACATCACAGTGGATTGGGGTGTCAGTGGATGTGACAGTGGGGAGACTCTATGGCAGGCACAGGGTCCTTCAAACCAAACCAACCAAACCCTGGAAACATCATCAACCAGCAACAACCCCAACCCAGATACGCAATCTCCAAAGGATAAGTAATCTGAGTAAGATTTCAAACATTTGGGGAAGGATTTCCAGTGCCACTGGGCACTGCCGTCAGCCTGCTCCCACTGGGAATTGCGGTTGATTTCCTAACAACTTCAAAAGGTCAAGACAAGCCTGAGTGTGGTTGAAAAGCTCAGCTACAGGGACTCAAAAGAATCAGACCACAGCGCAGTCTGCATTCATACAGGTTATGAAACAAAACAAGGGCTTCACGTCCTGCCCAGCCACATTAGAGCTGTTGAGTAACGAACTAACGCTATTGCCACCTCTCCGAACTCTCAACATTTCCACACAAGCAGGAATTTGCCCACACACAGAAGCAGTGAGGTTACCTGGACTCCTACTCTTCCAAGTGGGTTGAAAACAAGATCTTACATTATCCACATCTCCACCTGCTGAAGGGTTTAATCGTTCAGGGGTCCCATATCTCCTACTTACAGTTCAGTGTCTACAATGACATCTGGCTTCTCCAGAGTTTGCCGTCTCCTCTGGATGGCATCCACAATCTTTTTCCTGGGACCCAATGGGATATTGATGCTCTTCAGGTCATTGTCTGAACATAGCATGAGGGCCTCCAAGTCAATCTTTTCCTTCTTCAAGATAGAGATGAACTCAAACATGTGCAGGGAAGCCAGAAAAGTCTCCAAGGGGCTGGTGTCTGGTTCGTCATCATCATCTAAGCCCAGCTCCACTTCATCCCAGGGTAGCTCCTCCGCGTTCCTCTCCTGCAGGCTGTTGGCACTGCCAATGCTATCGTTGAGACTTGGCGAGCGCTGCAGGCGGCTCCGCAGTTTGACACCTACCCCATCCGTGTTGTCTTCACCCAGCATGCCAGCATCCTCCCGGCCGATCCCAAAAAGCCCACTGCTGACATAGTTGCGCCGGAACACCATGGTGCCCAGTCCAGGGCGGTTGAACAAGGACTCGTGGCCAGAGTCAGTGCTGACTTCTGAGTGGGCTGAGTCCATGTGCAAACCTGGGTCACTTATGGCACGGGAGACAGTGTCTTCATCCGTGAGGAACATGTCTCTGATATTGCGCCGAGTCCACTCTTTGGGGCTGGCGTATGTGCCCTGCTTCACAAACATGACATCGTTCCCCAGCTGCAGACCAGACAGAGACCGCACACTTTTCCTCCCATCCTCGTAGATCTTGAACGTCCCATCCACCTGCTTCTTCTTCTCTAGCTTCTTTTGTATTTTTGTCTTTCCCTTGGCTGTGCCATGGATGGTGGCTTGTGAGTATGGCAGGGAAGTCACCATAGACATGTGTTGGAACTTCTTGCTTAAGGTGCTACTCGAATAGCTAGAGAAGCTCATGGTATCTGAATTATCTGACATCTCCTTTCTGTACCGTTTCTCCATCCTTTCATGGTGCTTCTTCTGCAGTTTCACACAGTCTTTAATCCTCCGCTCTGTGTCCCGAAAGGCCTTGTCCTTCAGTTTGCTCACCAGTTTGGGGTTGAGGCTACTCTGCTTGGCAGCTATAGAGTCCAGGTAACGCACACACTCCATGTGCCCCTTCATGGCTGCCATGTCCAGCGGGGTGTGGTAGTCATTGTCCAGGCACCAGATGTTGGCCCCAAAAGAGATGAGGAAGGAAAGGCAGTTCAGGTGGCCGTTGGCTGCTGCCAGGTGGAGAGGAGTGTTCCCCCAGATGTCACATTTGTCTGGATCACCCCTAGACAGCAAGGAAAACAACTATTTAGTACACAGGCATGGCTGACAGACTCTGCTGAGATATTCCCAGTTGTGCAGGGGCAAATCAGCACCATGAAGTGTTGCCCCCTTGAAATATGAAGCTACACACCTCTGGCCCCAACAGCTGAATTTTAAGGGGGTCTTCTTGGAGGAGTGTACTGCTGACATGGAATCACATGCCTGACATGCAAGTCTCTGATTATTCGTGTGACTTGAATTTAGCTTCCAGGAGATAATGTTCCTGTATCAGACTGGTTTTTTGGAGGGAAGCAAGCCAGATTCTGAATATCTCAAAACTGAGATATGGAGCTGATTCTAGCTTAGACCTTAAGCTTGTTATAAAATTTGAAACCTCAAGCATCCCGTTAAATACTAGTCAGATTTGACCTTCAGATCTTGGCTTTATTCAGATTCCATGGAGAGAGATCACAAAATACCTCCCCATACACACTACATCCTGTGTGGGACACACCACGGGGTCCCACCATGCTGGTAACACCACCATGGTAGTAGCACCACCATAAAACTTCCCACCATGCCGGTAACACCAGCATGGTAGTAGCACCACCATGAAACTGCCATCCTCAGCATCGGTCCTGAAACCCACCAGCCGCTGCACCTTCCCACCCTCCTGTTCCTTGGTGCCTGGGGGAATTCAGGGCTCAAGAAGCCTCACCATCAGTAGAAATAAGAACAAAGTTGCTGGCACTGGCCTCGGGGTTGGGGTTTTGTGGGGGTTTTTGCCGTACCACACTTGGTTTCGATTGCATGGCTGGAAGCGCGTTGGTATTAGCACATCCTGAGAATCCAGTTTCAGAGAAAGTGGAGATTAGGTTTCTGCACTCCTCAAGAGCTGGACACTTGACTAATGCCATTAGCATCTCTTCTCACACTGTGCCGGACCCTACACCAGCAAGTTGCTGATGGGGCACAACCGCTTGCCCACATCTCCTGCCTTCTGTGACAGGACGGACACAAACCTGGGATTCAGGGGAAGTCTGTCCTCCTGACATTCCTCTGTATTTGTGATCTGCTGAAACAAGAGATAGTTCACACCCGTCCTGGCACCAGCCTTCCCCCGAGCGCGTGTGCTAATGATATGCAGCCAGCAGCACTATCTGTTGAGTCGCTCTCCCTTCGTGCACATGGACAAGGCAAAGCCTTTTATTAAGGCTGTGCAGACCCACCACCCTCAAGAGCAACTCCATGCAGGCAGCAGAGCTCTAGCTCAGTCCAGCTCCTGCCCGTTTCCACACCACCCTTTCAATGAGCTCTGGAGGAACCAGGCACCATCCATTCCCCACGAGGACCTCAGCTTCAAGCCTTGGTGACTCTAGGAGTCTGGAAGGTACATGCATACTTGAGACCAGCTTGTGTCACTTTACTCCTTGGTGCTTTAGGACCTCCAGTCCATGTTACTTTACTCCTTGGTGCTTTAGGACCTGTGTTGACAAGACGTGGGAGCAGCAGAGCCCAGAACACTCTCCCAAACCCCACGTGCTCTGTGCTTGTCTCACTTGAAAGAGTCTGAAAACTACTTCAAGGAAAGAGCATGGAGGCCCCAGGAGCAGAGGGACTTTTCTCCCCTGCCAGGTTCACATCTTTGTCACTACTGCCCATGCTTAGGACCCACTAACAGCTTTGACCAGCACATTTGCTCTCCCACAGTGCAGGCAGGCTGCCCACTGCCCACTCTGGACACTGCTGTTCAGGGAACAGTGGAGCTGGAGCAGAGCCACCCGGCCAGTGTGACATCTGGTCCACAATCCTTGGGCTTTGCTCACACCTCAGCTATGTAATACTGAAGGGAAATGATTCTGCAAAGGCAGAAGCAATAAAGACAGTGTCCAGTGGTTAAGCTGGAGATTATTTGGACCCAAAGTGTGAGTTTCCCTGCTGTATCCCCAAAAGCTGCTATGAGGTGTGCGCAGTTTTCCCCTCGTGACCATCAGCAGTAGCTCCACCATGCACATATTTTCCAAGAATTTGTAGAAACGTAGTAAGTACAACCTTGAGCCTGCGTGAGGGCCCAAAAGACCCACAAACCCTGCAAGACTTCTGTATCCAGAGCTTTCAACATTTCTCATAGAAGCACAGAAAGGCTTCAGAGAAGGGTGCTAGGGAGGAGAAGGGTGGGAGATTGCAGGATTAGGGAGCCATGAAACCAGGAGAAGGAGAGGAGGGAGCTGCCAGTACTCTGGCAATGCTGAGTTTCCAGGAGTGGTAACTCCCCAGCCCTCGCCTCTACCCTCGTAGTGACATGTCCAGGCTGGGAAATTCATGGGGAGGATAAATATTTGATGAATTGCAAGAGAAGAGTAAATTATTGATAGAGCTGGATTAAAGAGCCAGTGAAACTGGAACTGCCGGGGTTGGTGGTGGGACTCCAGCGCATGAAGGGTTGTTCCTTTGTTTACATGTGTTCCAAATGGGCACATGTGTGCCCGACATGGGTGGGCAGATCAGCCAGGGCACCACAGGGGTCCCAACATGTATGTGGACTCATGATTTGGGCAGTGACTTAGCAGTGGACTCACCAGAAACAATCTTGCTCCCTAAACCAAGCGTATGGATGTTCAATCCATAAAGTACATGTCGTAGCCCATTCTCATGTCTGTCTGGTTCAGGTGACAAAGAGTAAAGCCAGGGAGGTCTTGGTGACTTCATATCTGAAGGTCAATGTTCCTCATGCTTTTTACCACCTCAGAGAATAAGGGGGGGTGAGGGGGAGAAGAGCATCAAAACTAGCTTTTCCCAGACATTTCCACTGTCTAGAAACAAAGGTAAAAGAGCAAAATTAGATCTCTAGGTCCCTCTGCCCTATAAACATCTGCCGCAGGCGCTAGAAATGCATCAGAAGGAAAGAAGAAGAGCAACTTGCAAAGTAGAGGTGTTTGATCCAGCATAGATAATAAACATGAGGCCCTCCCTCTGGCAGGTGTCTGTCCCAGCAAAACTTCACCTCCAGGGCGCTGTGCACGAGGAGATGCTGACTGCAGGGTCCACTAAGTGGGAACGTATTTTAATAACAGGTGTGAAGCGGAGCACTTCTCAACTTCAAAGCGTTTTTGAGTGCTGAGTCGACGCCTGTAATAATCATTATTAAAAACGTTGTTAATTGAGCCCCTTAGGTGGACATGTGCATCTCCTGAGTCATTGCGTTTGCACTGTGACACCCACACTCACTCCCTTCCTGCCGGTTTTTTCCCACCACTTCTCCCATAGGATCCCAATTAGCCGGGTAATCCACCGGCACTTACATACGTCCTTTCCTGGCTGCACGTGTGAAGTTCCTCTGATAGCAATGGGCTGGCTCATCTCCTGGCTCATGGCTTGTGTGAAGGATCAGGCCCTTGGACCAGGAGCCACCTGGGTGCAGAGTATCTCTGGCTCCCATAAAATGTTTTTAGATATAGGAAGAGGGAAAAATAATTTATGGCTTGAAGCAAAACTGAGTGAGGGAAATGGCCCAAGCAAAGCCTAGAAATGAGCAGAAAAGATGAGTTTTTGGAGCCAGAGCAGAGCCTTGGGTCCTGTATCCCAAGCTTTGTCCAGTTGGTGGTGGACAGGTCAAGGATTCAGCTTTTCTTCAAGCCCAGATCCCCAAAAATTCAGCACCATATGCTGTAGGTTAGGTTCATCTCAGGGCTTTCTGGCTCTTGTACCAGCAAAAACCCATGCTAGTAGTTGGTGTTACTGGTGATTACGAATGCTGGCTGTGCTGTGACAGTGCCTGGGGGCACATCTACTGCCTCAACACCTGGCCATGCCCAGACCTAACGCTGACTCCAAGCAGCCAGCTCAGGTGCCGGAAGCGACGAAGCTACGACAGCACTCCACCCTGCTCCTTCACCTTCCCGGCAGGTCATCACCCAGGGGAAGTTCCCACCAACATGGCCACACTGCTGCTGGCACCCACGTGGCTGTCAGTCCTGTGGCGTGCAGAGAATGCACATCACCTTCACGTGCCTCACTGCGACCTCCACTGCAACCCGGCCCCAGCTAGGGTGATGTGACTCCTTTGAGCAACCTGGCTGATGTCAGGAGACACCTCGTTCCCTCCAGCCCACTACTGAGACACTCGCACCCCTCTGCCATCAACATCCGAAGCATCCATGACTCCCATTTTTGTAAGAAGGGAAACTGAGGCACGTCTCTGTGAAGAAACACCAGGTGACAAAGCTGACTGTGGACTTGTCTAACAGAAAGACACATCCTCACCTCTCCTGTGGTCCACTCCAAGGCAAGAAAGTCTTGTTCTTTCCCAGCCAAGACCCCCAGACTCGTGTTTAACTGGAGCTGGACTGATGCCTGCCACTGCCACTGCAGTTTATAACGAACCTTGCTGAAGAATTAGTGCCTGTGAAAAGCTGCAATTCTAAATGCCAGTTAGCCTGTCTTTTCCCAGCCATCATGTTAATTGAGTTTGTTTCCCTCGCTGGAGCCCAGCCAGGAGGAAGAAAAAGGCTTTTTGTGTTGCTAACAAGGATGAGCCACGGCTGATCCCTCCTTCCCAAACTCTCTCTCTGTCCCCACACAAAGGTGACACAGAGACATGGACACACCACCGGCTGTTACGGACAGAGCAATAAACCTGCATCGTTATCCCTTCCCTGTGAGCTGAAAAGATGAACTTTTCTCAAGGATCCCCCAAAGGATTTATTATACTTTCTTTCCCCTTCCCCGTCTCAGCCCTACACCACAACCTGCTGAA